AAAAAAATAAATATAAATATATAAATCCCACCCCACCCCACCCTCCAAACAAAAATGATAAAACTACCCTACCCCCAAAATCCTTCATCTTTTCCACCCCCCCCCCCCCCCCTTCCCACCCCAAACCCAGAATCCTTCATCTTTGCTAACAGTAGCCATATGCAAGAATTACGATATCAACTAGATTTTACAGTGAATTACTCAAGTCCCATTTGTAGAGTTTTTGGACAATAAACCATGTTCGATGAATTTTGGAGCTAATTCAAAAGCCCCTTGTTGTGCAGAGAAAATGGGAAATGAGCGGTGATGCTGGGTTTGGGTTTTTTTGTGAAATTGAGTGGGGAATGGGCTGAGGTGATGGAGGAAATAAATTGATTTAGTCAAGGGCAAATGAATCGATTTGTTTATTTCGACAATTTTTGTGTTTTGGTGGCGTTTGCGCCTAAAAATTATGTTACGGCGACGAAGGCGTTCTGCGTTTTGTGGGCATTTCTTGGTTTCCTATGTGGAGGGTGCCAACATTGGTAGTGGGAGTGATGGGGAAATGGATTTGTGGTGGTGGTGGTAACAATGCTCAAAGGTGACGGTGGTGGTTGGGTGGTAGTGTCTCACACGAGAAGAAGAAAAGAGATTTTGATTTGGGGGTGCGGGTTTATATATTTATATTTATTTTTTGATTTTTAATTTAATTAAACAACTTACTTATTATGAAAAAAATGCAAAGTACAATTTTGCCCTTTTTAATTTGGTTAAAATTGATCAAATTTTCTATTTTTTGGTCAATTAATAGAAAAATGGACAGTTTCTGTCCAAATGGACTTCAGTTGCATATTTATAAAAGATTAAGGACCTTCACTGACACAAAATGTAGGTTAAAGTAAAGTCTGCAAAAATTGAAAAAGTTAGGGATCACTGCTACAATTTTCCCTATAAATAATAATGAAATTAAGAAAATGTTAGGTTTTCCAATTTCATTTGGATTTTACCTCTTTGATCCAAATTTGATGAAAATAATGTTGGACAAGTAAAAGGTTGTATTTTGTAAGTTTAAGATCTCGCTACATACATATCAAAATTTACATAATATTATATGACGTTCTATCATTTGTCGATTTAAAACATAATCAATATTTTCTTCTAATATTTTCCCTGTACATCATATTTTGTAATCCATTACATACATATTTTATGTGCAAATAGCAAGATACTAACCAGAACAATAAATATATTTTACATCCTATGATTTAAAGATCAAATCTCACATCAATTTTATATATTTATTGTAGTACTGTCTAGTCTCATGCATGAATTATTTTACTTGTTTTACAACGATAGTGCATGTCCAAATTCTTCTATAAATACCTTGGATTGCTTCTTCTCAATCGCACTCTTCTTTCTAATACACACACATATTTCAGACATGGAGACACAAATAGTTTGCGGGAGTGAGAAAAATGTGTGGAGTTCAATGTTGTTCATTACAGCATTTGTGATATTGGGATGGAGAATTATGGATCGGATTTGGCTTAAACCTAAGAAGAAGGAGCGGATGCTTAAGCAGCAAGGCTTCAAAGGGAACCCATATACATTGACCAGGCTACTGTTTGGAGACGTAAAAGAGAACTCAATCGAATATGCTGAAGCCTTGCGAAAGACAATCAATATTCACGACGAAGCTGTCCCCCGTGTCATGCCTTTCGTTCATAAAACCATTGAAAAATATGGTATCTTCTAGGAAACTTAATTATGTACTTTTTTAGATACTAATTCTAATGAACTTCCAAATTTTTGTCAGTGGAAACTAACATTTTATCTTAGGTGCCTGCATTAATGTACCAATTGATCCATGCATGCACTAATTGTATTTGCATTATCATAATTTCTTTCTAAAAAAGATATATATTTTTCTTTTTGTAGGTAAAACGTCGTTTATGTGGGTTGGACCGAGACCGCGGCTGCTCATTATGGATCCTGAGTTGATGAAAACAGTGATGAGTAAATACAATACTTTCAGAAAGAATTTTAAGGTAACCAATAATATAGTGCAAACACTTATTAGTGGAATCCTTAACCAAGAGGGAGAAGAATGGAGCAAAAGCAGAAAGACTCAAAATCCTAGTTTCCAACTGGAAAAAATTAAGGTAACTTTTGTACAAATTAATTTTTTTCCCCTATTTTGTATAATTAACCTTAATAGATTGTTAATATTTTTTCGATATTTTGTTTTTAATTATGCAGCAAATGATACCTGCATTTCAATTGAGCTGCGATGAAATTGTGAATGAGTGGAAGAACATGGTGTCGAGCTCCAAGGATGGCTCCTGTGTGGTGGAAGTGATGTCTCATATAGAAGTCTTGACCATTAAAGTGGTGTCCCAAACTTTATTTGCCACTGACTATGCACAGGATAAAAGGATCTATCAAATTCTTAAAGAATTGACTTCTATTGCCAGACAAACAACTCGAATAGTTGATTTACCAGGAGCCAAGTACGTTATCACACTTAAACTATCGTACATTTACAATGATGTTTGTACTCTCACCACCGGGCTGGCCAAAGGCAACCTAGGTCATTGTCTTGAGCCTCAATTCTTGAGGGGTCTCAAAAATTAAAAGCCCATAAATTCAACAAAAAAATTCCTTTCTTTTTTGAGTTGAGTCATTTATTCCATGTAAAAGATATGACTAAATAACATGATGGCATGGATTCAATAAGAGGTCCAAAACACTTGGACACTTAAATCCTTTATGAGCTTAATTTTTTTAAAAAAAGAAATCTCCCGTAGTTTTTTAGTAAGTTTATAACTTTTTAAAATAAAATTAAAAAATTAATTTTTATGAAACTTAAAAATAAGTTATTTATTTTAAAAGGCCTCATTTAATTTTTCAAAAATAATANTTCATTTGAATTTTCAAAAGCAATATAAAAAAATTAATTTGAATAGAACATGAATGATACTAAAGAGATCAATGCGGTTATAGCAAATTATATTTAAGAGTTTCGTAATAATTTGTCGGGCCTTGAATATCTTAGGGTTAGGGCTGGGCTCACCGTGGTTGTCTATTGTTTTCAAAATGATGAAAATCGTGATTTTAACTTAGGAAATGTGGGTTTATATTATTTACTGACGCTCTTTATTAAAATTCAACGTCTAAGACTCAAGTGTTAAAAGTCATCATTGTAGGTCTTCTGTGCCTTATTGTTAGTATATTGAAGTGAAGTTGAATCATAAGGTGCTACTAACAATTTTCTCAATTTGTATAGGTATCTTCCCACTATGACAAATCGAAGGTCAAAACAGATCAAAAATGAATTAAGAAAATCATTTTCGATTCTGATAACTGAAAGGGCAAAGGCAATTAAGGCAGGAAAAACTACGGAGGACAACTTCTTTCATGTGTTGTTGGATTCTGAACTCGCAGAAGCTCATGGAATCAAGAATATGGATGATTTGATTGGACAGGTTCAGTTATTCTACTTTGCGGGACATGAGACCACCACAGCTATGCTCGTCTGGACCATGATTTTACTTAGTATCCATCAAAATTGGCAAGAGCGTGCTAGACAAGAGGTTTTTCAAGTCTTCGGTAACCGTAAACCTGATTATGAAGGGTTAAGTCAACTGAAAACTGTAAGTGGTCGCAATTTTATATACTTCACAATTGTATATATTTCCATTGCTTAAAAGAAAAGTTGAAAACCATTAGAAAAAGAATGAAATACTTATATTATTTTTCACCCTATAATGAACTCATACAAATAATTGAGGAATAAATTTGAAAGAAATGTGTTTGGCAATGAATATATATGTGTGTATAATAGACCGAAAATGATGGAAATGTCACCTTTCGGATTAGAAAAAGTAGTTACACTAGATTCATTCATCTTGGTTTTGGTTTTGAGTAATGACATTTAGCATCACTGCCGCTAAGAACAAATTTAGGTGACTTGCAAGTATTATTAATTGATAGATCACCTTAAATGTAGCAAAGTAAAACACATTTAAGACGTTCTTATCACGTGCACGATACCTAAACTGATACTCCAGCACAAGTAGCATTATTCTTAATTAGGGTTTTCCCATGTGTATAAGAAATTCTTTTATCGTTGCTCATCTTTTTCAATGTTACTCATCAAGAATTGAATAGGGTGTCTTCATCATTCTCTGCTCTTATTATTTGAGATCTTTTTCATCCTTACAGATAACAATGATTTTCAATGAGGTATTACGGCTGTATCCACCAATTGTTGAATTGTCTAGACTGGTTGAAGAAGAAACAAAGTTAGGTCAATACACTATCCCAGCAGATACACTATTGATGTTGCCAATAATCATACTTCACCGAGACACAGAATTGTGGGGCGAAGATGCAAATGAGTTTAAACCAGAAAGGTTTGCTGAAGGAGTATTGAAAGCAACAAATGGCCGCCCTGCATATTTTCCATTCGGTGCAGGTCCTCGAGTATGCATTGGACAGAACTACTCTCTATTGGAAGCCAAACTTGTCTTGGCAAATATTCTGAGCAACTTCTCTTTTGAGCTTGCACCAACTTATACACATGCTCCCTATGTTATTTTTACTGTCCAACCACAGTACGGTGCTCCACTCATTCTGCGCAAGCTTTAGCGCAATTCAAGAAACCATAAATCTCTATGCACCAAATTGTTAGAGATTCAATTGTCGCATTGTTGGATATCATTGCATAACCACTTGCTTGTTTCCCTTTTATCCGTGGATTGTCTTTTGGCCAAATAAAAACTTTGAATAAAAACCTCGTTTCAATGTACTGTGAATCAGTTGCTAGGATAAGTGCCTTGAAAAGCTTAATCCTTGTAATGAGACATTTTCCGTTGGTTGATAAGGTGATGTTTTCATCTTGAATTTAATTCCTATCATGCTTTTATGTGTACGAGTTGTCTAAACAACTGAAATTACTAGAATCATTTCAAGTCAAAACTATTCAAATTAAGAAAATTACGTACCTTAAAAATATCTCATAATTCATATACTTCCAAAGAGCATTTTTCTTCATTAAAACATTTTTAATTAGAAACGATCGACACTAGTCAAAAACTAATTTTCACCAATTTGGTTTTATTGTCTTTTACCGAAATCTAATAAAGATATATTTTTTATTCAAACCAAACTGGGGCTTAATGTATCTTAACTAGTACCGACCTACACAAAGGCATAAAGAGAAACTTTGGATACATAAAATTGATTATCAACACATAACACCCAGCATACATTATATTCATGCAAATACTACCTTAAACATGTATTCTTTTGTAGAATCAACAAAATATGGAGATTCTTGAACGTCTGGACCATTTCACGTGATTACTTTCCATATTATTATCTTCTATTAACAGGAAAATCCCTCAAATCTGGCCCTTCATCATCAAACCTAGAAGAAAACGCTGTTGAAATCCCATCACATTCGATCTCAAAAGTTTTAGATCATTTTCAACCTGTAATCTTAATATTTTCAAAGATATTCATTTCCCTTCACTTGCAGAAATTCTAGTCAAGAAGGTGAGGGTTATTCATTGTGATTAACCGTACTTTTCAACTGAAATCAAGATTTTTACGGGTTACAAAAGATTTGTAGACTTCAGTATATAAGGTCACCAGGAGTGGTAGCAAATTAGCAATTATGTTGAACATTATATGTTGCTGCACATTGTGACTTCATCTTATCAAGTTGTGGGTGATTTCTGCACCTTTGTTACCACTACAAAAATGGAATATGATAGGGAAAATTGTTTCTTCAATGCCGGAATAATTCTGTTGATGTCGTCCGGTTGCCAGAACTTAACTTCTTCTCTTAAGTTGCTTACTTGGTTTGGGATTCTTTAATTTTGAATTCTAAATTGAGAGGATTT